GCACGGGCGGCGAGGAAAGCATCCCTCCGCCCAGCAAAGCTGCCTTGCCTTACCCGCCGCGTGAACCAAAGCTCCGCGAAGCATTTGAGATTTGTCCGTCAGTATTTAATATCAGCATCCCTGACCCGCCGCACACACCCCCCCCCCCGGCTCCGGGAAGGCTCCGAAGGGCCGCGTTTGTATGCGGCGCACGCAGACAGACAGCAGCCGGGAAGCGCCCGTCAATCACGGTCCCTTTCAGCCTGTCACCTCAAAATAAAGGGAGAAAGAGGGAGTGGTGGCTCCGATGGGAAACTGGGGCTGCCCATGCCAGTCCCCCTCCGTCGGTGTGGGAAGGGACATGGGATGCGCCACCCCAGAGGTGGCTTCGGCCACGTGTGGAAATTTCTAGGTTTCAGTGATGCTGTGCAGATAGGAACCCCCAAAGCAGAGGTCTGGGGTGACTTTCTCAAGGAAAAGGAGTTGCACAGAGAACGGGGACTGTGTCCCAGGGGAAGGGGGGATGTCTGTAACGCTGGCTAGCTCACTTGGGGGTCTTCCAGCAGAAACGTTGTGCTTTTGGAAATGGCAAAATATTTGGTTTCATGATTTTATTGAAACCCACCACCACCTTTCTGTTTCAAAACTTCAGACTGTCATTTCAAAAGGGACCTAAATTTAAAAAAAATACATTTTAACGCAGATTAATCAATACAGGAATGTTTTAATATTGTGATAAAAATTGCTTGCATCACTGTATTTTTGTTCCAGTTCTTCTAAGTTGAGCGGGTTGGTTTTTATTTACAAATATTCACTGTCAGTGCTTCGATGAGGCTTTTACTGAGCTGTCCGTGGCAGTGGTGGGTTTCCACCATTGCTGAGCACGTCTCCCTGTCCAGTGCCCTGCCTTCCCCCTGCCAGCTTCGTACGTGGTTGAACAACCCCAAAAACTGCCAGCCAGGCCTTGTATAGCTTTTGAACCCCAAGCTACGGAGGAAAAAAAAATATAATCTATTGAGAACTAAAGCCTGCAGCATCCCTAGGATGGCAGAAATGAAGGCGCTCCCACTGCAAATTAAGGGTTGGTAATTTGTTGTTGGTTTAAAACCTGTTGAAGTCCCTGTGCAGAGCCTGTCCTCCTCTTCTGTGCAGCCTCCTGTAGAGAAATGTAGTCTCAGAGTCCCCTTTGTAGCTGCTGGGAGGCTCAAAGAAGTAGAGAGGGGAGAAAAGATGGCATTTGCTCTGCAGCCTCCTGCTTGCAGCAGGAGGGAGCTGGGCACAGAGCTGAAGATCCCAGAGGTGGAGGGAAACATCTCTGGATCCAGGCTGGTGTGCCTTGCTCAGGCAAAAATGTCAAATTAATTGCTAGATCTGGAGCTGGAACAAAATTTTCCTTCAGGCCCACCACAGGCTGTCCAGGGGTGTTTCAGCTGGGTTGTCCATGCAGGGGTTATCCATGCTGGGGTTATCCTATGTGGGGCTACCCCTATGTGGGGTTATTCCCAAGTGGGATTACCCATGCATGGGATTATCCGTGCATGGGGTTATCTGTGTGAGGGGTTATCTGTGCATACTTTTCCTCCCCGGTCCCTGTAGAGGAGCTGGTACTGCCCAGGGCTGGTCCAGCCCTGTAGGGATCTGGGACACCAGCAATGTCCTTTGCTCTCTCCCCATTATTACCAGCAGTAGGCTGTGGTTTTTATGCCTGTGACCTTTTAGTGCCTAAGATCTGGGTTTATTGTGGGTTTATAAGGAGCTCTTTATGGGTTCATACTGTGGCAGAGGTTTTATGGGGATTTCTCTGCATCCCACGTTGTCCAGGGATGGGGGAGTCCTGCATTTGGGCAGTGAAAGATGCCTGGTCCGTCTGGCATCCCTCAGCAGGAGCTGTTGGGGTCTCAGCGGTTTGGAAACAAAGTCATTTATTCAGCGACCTAAGTATGGCTTTAAGCGTCTAATATTAGGCAGCCGTTTACCTAAATCTCACACCTTCCTGTTTTGCAACCTGCTTTGGGCTTAGAAACATCCATTGCTCCATTGGTGCTGCTGTGCGTAATGGGCAAAGGTTTATGGCTCTCTAATCAGTGCCCTGGAAATAGAGATTTTGGGCACATTCATTCATGAAGATTAGATAGCAGCAACGTAATAGCTTATCAATATTTTATTACTGAGAGCAGTTAGTAATCCCAACAGGTAGGGCTTAAACTTCATTTAAACAGGATGAGTATGTGTTACCAGATGAATACAAATTGCCTCCACTTTGACATAAAAGAGACATAATTAAAGATGAAATGACTGCAGAAATATTATCACAAGCCTGTGTTTCTCAGAGCTGGAACAAGAAAAAAATGACCCTTCAGAAGGAATGCTTTCAAGGGAATATACATATGTACATCTTAGAGACAGACAGTTCTATGTAAACCTGGGAAATTAAGTTGAAGGTACAAAAATAAAAGCTCCTGATGGCATTGTCTGGAATTATAAACTCCCTAACCTCCACCTTCTATTGGATGATTTTTCCCCTTTCTGTAGCGACAACAGCATTTTATAAAAGCTTTATAACACCCCTTTCCTACTTCTTGGGGGATGCTACAATTTGCTGAGGTGCCCAGGATTTGGCTGGCACGGGGAGAGTGATGCACCCCATCCCTGTGCTCGCTGCCACCGTTTTGGGAAAACCTGGGAGGGAGTGGGCAGATCTCATGTGCCGGCATGAAGCGTACGCGGGAGGACCCCAAGGTGGGAGCGAGCCAATGCCAATAGAACGGGATACATTTGAGGCCCCCATTCCCGACCCTTCGACCCCTTGACACCCGGCCCCAAAGGTTGCTGGGCACGGCTGGAGGGTGGCGGGGTGTGCACATGGGTGCGCACATCTGGCGGGGCAGCTGTTTGCTCGCCAGTGGTGGTGCGGGGCACCGGGAGGTGATGCTCTGCGGCCGACCCTGCCCGTGGGTACGTGGGGAGGCAAGCGTGTTCCTCTGCTCCCGCATGTCCCTTCCCTCCTCGTGTCAGTGGGATGCACAGCCTTGCCGGGGCACGCTGGCTCCCAGCAGGCAAGCTTGATGAGACAGGCACAGATGTGACCAGCTGCTGCCCACTCTCTCGGGCCCGCCTGTCCCCCTCCGGCGGTTTGCACAGCTGACCGTCTTGTTTATCAGCTCTTGGGCGACTTCAGCGGTGAAATGAAAAGGTGAAATGAAGCCTGGCTGGGGTTTCGGGGGAGCAGAGGCTGCGCGTGGGCTGCAGCGAGGCGCACGCTCCTCTGCTGCTGAGGACCTTTTGTTCCGCAGCATCTCTGGTGTTAGGGGCTCCTTTGCCTTGGGAGCTACCTCTGAGGCACGAAGACACATGTGTGCCTTGCTTGGTCCCCCATCTTCTCGTTTTATGGACTATGAAGCTCCTCGCAGAAACTTTTAAAGTTTTTTTTTCCCATTTCCTGATGGTTTTGCTGCAAGGGTTTTGCGTACATCTGTTCCTCTCCTTGTTGGAATGGGGCTGACTCAGCGCTTTTCATTTCCTACGTGGTAGCCAAAAAAACAAAAAGAAGGATTGAAAGCCCGCTGGTGGCTGCAGGGCTGCTCTTCCCCTGCCCTAGCCCTGCAGCTCCCTGACCCCACAGGTCTCCCACGGAGGTGACATACGGGATGGGGACCATGGAGGTGGGAGCTATCTGGGGTGGGTGAAGGGCTGGATGCAGCGCTCCCCATATGGGTCCCCGGGGCATCCCCAGGCTGGGACACAGGCGATGCTCGGAGATAACCTCTGCAGGATGTGTGCTGACTTCTGGCTTCTCTTTCTGGGCCAAAGTCATCAAGACAGGGGAATAATAATGTCCAGTTCCCACAGATATTTAGGACGAGGCTGAGTAAACAGTGATTTTTTTTCTGTATGGGGCACAAGCCAAAAACACAGATATCTGGGGGTGGCGAAGAGGTTCTGGTTTGGTACCTTCAAACATCTCTACTCGGGGAAACATCCCGTTCGCTTAAAATATCCAGCCCAGGGTTTAGCTCCAGGTGCCTCCAAGTCCTCTCAAGCCAACACTGATGCTGCCACCTCCGTTCTGCTCACCTCAGTTTCCCCAACTGTAAATCACTGATCATGCTACTGAGCTTTTCGGTAAGGACACTTAAAGTCAGAGAAAGAAAAGCTCTGTTTCAACCTAAAGTGTTATTGCTGTCGTTATTATTATTGGCTTTTAAGTATAGAGCCAGTGTGTTGAAACTTGGGAACTGTACAATTAGGGATGCCTCAAACACTGTCACATCAATGTCAAGGAACAAGCTGAGCTTTTTCTTTTCCTTTTGACACATCAAGTGTTCAGTCTGCCACCAGCCTTAAACCAAAACTTGCTGCCGTGGAGATTTTTATGATATGTTAGACATTGCTGATATGTTTGCTAGCAGTAACAGGGCTGTTCCAGTGACCCAGACCGGAGGGACTGGATGGTTTGTGGGTGACCAACAGTGTGGATGCTCTCTGCAGGTGCTTCTTGAGAGACACAGATGAGCTCGCTGGCCCCATCACCATCTCCAGCATCACCTTACATCTAGGTGTGAACTGGAGGCAGGTGGACATATAGGGTTGGCTTGATAAAACTCATGTAAATGTGCTGTGTCCCATGTCTTGTGGTGGTGGTGGCTGGACTGTTGGGTTTGACGCCTGTTTGCTTTTCACCCGGAGCATCCGGATGTTGGGGTCTTTGTCCTTTGACTGTATTCATGGTAAGCACCTGGTAACAGGTCAACCGAAAATGCTAAAGTTGACCCAAAGACATCATTCCCCATTGGCACAGGGCAAGCTCACAGCAGGGGCCGTCTCACTGCGGGGTGCCATCACCGATGTGCCCAGCCCCGCAACACAATCAAAGCACCAACAAGATGACACCAGTGATCCTGTGCCAATGCCCATCTCCCCACCATGGGTGCCCCGTCCCTCGTCCCCAACACCGTGCCACCCACCGGGTGTAGCTGCGGTGCTGCTGGGTGTCCCAGCGGGGTCTCCTCTTGCTCCCCCAGGCTCTTCGCAGTGAAGTGCGCCGGGTGCCTGGAGGCCATCGCGCCCAGCGAGCTGGTGATGCGTGCCCAGAAGAGCGCCTACCACCTGCGCTGCTTCTGCTGCTGCGTCTGCGAGCGGCGCCTGCAGAAGGGAGACGAGTTTGTGCTGAAGGAGGGGCAGCTCCTCTGTAAGAGCGACTACGAGAAGGAGCGGGAGCTGCTGAGCTTGGTGAGCCCGGCTCTGTCGGATTCTGGTAAGGGGCCGCCCGCGCCCGGCGTCTCCCTGGCTGGTCCCGCTCCGAGGCCCCTACGAGTGCGGTGGGGTCTGGAGGTGAGGTTTGGGCTCGCTGCCCTGAACCTCTGCCCTGTGGACCAGAGGGAAAAGCTCTCTAAGCACCATTGCACCCTCCAGTGACAGCCTGTTCCACCTCGGTGGCAACAGCGTGAGTGGGGACCTCAGCAGTGGAGGGGCTGCAGGGCTGGAGGATGCTCAGGGACCATCCCATCTCATTAGGCTCTTTTCTGGAAGGGTTTGTGCTCCTGGGCTTTGCAGAACACCAGCACCCTATCCCGAGGGGTGTGCAGCCTCCCCGGGTGTGGAGGGAGAGCTGTGCTCGCCAAAGGTGACATCTCCCACCTCCTCGCCCCAGGGAAACGAAGGAGCTGCCCCTGGTATAAATACACTGTAAATTAGAGTTTTCTTCCTAAAAAATATCACGGTCCCGAGCATCCCACTGACTACCTTGGGGTAAACCTTCTGTGTCCCTCCCCTGTGCCTCACTGTCCCTGCCTGGGACTCTGGGAAGGCTGGAGCACAAGAAGTGAGCTGCTTCTGCTGTAGCCACCCTTTTTAATACTGAGGGGAAACTGAGGCACAGAGCTAAAACATGAGCTGGTGGCAGGGAGCCTGCAGATCTTGTGTCCCCAGCGGCTTCCCAGGCAGTCGATGGCCACAGCCAGACTGCAGACCCAGCGTGGTGACGCTGCAGGGATGCCACAGAGCCAAGGGGTCTGCAGGAAAGGTGGCACCGTGGCTGGAGGTGGACAGGGGAGCTGGCACCCTGCTCCAGCCCGGGTGTCACTGCCGGCTTAGGTCATCCCCAGCATCAGATCAGCATTAAAATATTTATCTACAGTCAGTGCAAATCAAATCTGAATGTTTCCCAGGAAGACAAATTTAGTAAGAAACCCCAGCAACGGGGGCCGCGGGGGGGTGGGGGGTGGTGTGGAAATTATCTACTATCAGAAATCCTCATGTTAACGCCGTCCCCGCAGAGCCCCGCTCCTCGCGAGGCTGCGCAGCCCCACGCCGCGTGCCCGGGTCGCTCGGCTCCTCTTAAAATCCATCATCGGGGGAAAATCTGCTTTGCAGAGGGAAGGATTTCCCTTTGAAATGCCGTGCTCTGGAAAGGCTGCCAGCAAGCTGGGGGGAGCCTGTCTTTTCCCTGCTAGAACGAAGCTCTGAATTAAAAAAAAATAAATAAAAAAAAAATCAGCATTATGAGCCTGTTTGGGAGGGGGTTGTTAAGGTGTGAAGTGGGGCAGGTCACAGACATGGCAAAGACCGGTGCTCACCATCAGGCACAAGGCGATGCTGCAGCTGGGGGAAGATGCATGGGGTACACGGATGGTTTTGGTGGGAATGAAGAAAAAAAATGCCCAAAGCCCCGTGTTCCTCTTTAATAGCATGCTCCTCAGCAGCGAGAGCCCGGCTGCTTTGTGGCTGGCTCTATCCAGCTCTGCAACCCTGCTTTCTTGAAAGAGAAAAATCCTTCCCCCAAATAATGGTGATGATATTTGAAAACTAAAGAGTGAGGCCATGGGAGGAGGTGGCTGAAGGGAACTGGTGAGTGATGGTCCAATGCTGGAGGAGCTGGAGAGGCAGGAAAGCAGCAGGATCCAGCACACTGGCGCTGGCTCTTGCCTTAGCCCTGGGAAAGTCCTTAATTGATTGAAGAATTATTATTTTTTCCTTATGGGATATGCAAACTCTTTCAGTTAAAATAGGAACCAATGAGGAGACATCCTGCAGGAAAATAAGTGAATTGGCCTCTGGTCCCACAATGTTTTGGGTTTATTCCTAGTGGGGGAAAAGGTCAGTTTGGGAAAGGTTGGGGAGCTTTTCCTCCCCAGCGACTCATCGGCCCGTGGTCCAGCCCCACTGCCAGGGGCTCCAGCCAAACCGAGAGCTTCAACTAGCAAAAACCTCGATGGGAAATACTTATTTCTGTGGAAACTCCAGCCGAGACCTGAGGGATGCGAAGGGCCAGTGTGGGATCAAAAGGGCATGACAGCCCTTAAGCTGGTCAGAAACCCAACCCGAAGCCCCCAGCACACCCTGGCAACTCTGGGCTGGGGGGTCCCGGCCCTTCCCATCTCCCTGCAGACCCTGTAGCTTAGCCCGACCGCCATCCCTGCCTGGCTTTGCTGGCCACCGACAGTTTGTCTCGAGATGGTGCGTGGCTCTGGGGATGGTGGCACAGCGGGGACCGTCCCAGGTGCGCATCCCATGCAGATGCTCTGCGTGGCACAGCTTTGCCCCCTCCTGCCACATCTCCCCAGGGGGACCCCACTGCCACGCCATAGGATGCAGAGGGGTGCCGCCGTTCCGGCACTGGTCACGGATGCCCTTCACCAGCAGCATGCGATGTGCGCGTCC